ATGATGTGATGAACAATAACTCACATGAATTTGCACAAAAAACCATTGAAGATTTACTTTAATTTGAAGGATTTAGAGTTTAGAGATTTAGGGTTAGGGTTCACAATTTGGGGTTTAGGGATAGAACTCAAAATTGGAGGTCTAAGGCTTAGGGTAATCGACTAATTAGTTGTTATCATATGTTATATCATCATATTACACTGATTCTACAAATTAAAATTCAACATCCGACACCTTAAGACTAGTTTTTGAGTTGGGTGCATTGAACGCACCCATTTTTGTGAGTGCACCGAAGTAGTCACCCATATATATATATATGGTGCCTTCTACGGTACCCCGGGTGAAATCCAGGATACCGCATACCTTAAGTATGAAAATGCTATCAAGACATCAAATTAGCAGGATTTCTTGGCATGATACTATACCCTAACCCTTAATGAGTGAATCATAGGTCCTAATTATCTAAATCATAAACTATAAACCCTAAGATGTGCATTTATTTTTTTGCCTATATTTGGATGAATCATAACCGTCGATTATGGTTTCTAATTAAATTGATCTTGGGGTATAAGATTTAGAAAATTAAGACCTAGATTTGGATCTTTAAGGGTTAGAGTATAGTATCATGTCCGAAAGATCAGTCAATTCAAAGTTGTGGATAGCGTTTTCTTACTCAATGTATGCGGTACCCCGAATTTCACCTTGGGTACCGTAGAACTCCCCATATATATATATACATATATATATATGACAAAGGCTAGTGTACGCTAGCCTACCGTACGCCTCATTGAGTTTTGCTATTTAGACAAAGAATTAATCGGAGTTTGTGACATGGTACTATACCCTAACCCATAATGGGTGAATCCCAGTCCTATATATATGTGACACTATACCCAAACCTCTAATGGATAAACCCCAACCCCATTCTCTAAACTCAAACAAGAAGTTCAATTTAATAAAAAATACTAATTGACCTTTGAGATTGACCGGAGCTCAAAAAATGAAATCTAACGGTCGGATCACTTGGAGTGTACTATACTCCTAGAGTGGGAACGGATCAGGTCAGTAACTCAATGGTCAGTAACCATGAGTAACCTGTCCACATTAGCATGACATTAGTATCCTCTCTCATGTAAAGTCTTTTATTTTCCCCCTTTAATCTTTAACGGACGATTTCTCTCTCGTATTAAGTCAAAATTTAATTTTTTTGCACAGATAAATCAGATTAAATGTGCTCTTTAAAATGATATCCACTTTGATATATTTATACTACAAAAAAATTGAATAATTTTTACCAGTCGTTATCATATGGTATGCTCCTATTTAATATCATATGGTAAGAAAACGTACCATGATTAAATGTAAGAATTATTAGAAGCACCAGATTAAATCTATCCCTCTCTTTGGTTGGAACATATACTGTCTTGTCTGTCCACCACCAGAGAGTAGACGAGAAGTAAGAAGAACCAGAGCAATAAGTATTACTATAAACTTTGTGTTGACATTAACTGATTGCATCTTCGACTTTTTAACAACGATTCTAAACCCGCTTTACAACTCCTCAAACAAAGCATGAACAAGGATATTTGATATTTTGATGAATTTTGGAATAAACTAAACTAAATTACTCTACTCATATGGAGATCTAGTAAAAGTTCCAAATGTTACTCATATGGCTATTTTGTTTGCAGAGAAAAAGACTAGTTAACATGTGTCTCTACACAATGATTTCAGGAAATTTTGTTTCATCTTCGTTTCTTCTATTTATAACCAAAATGTGTAACTTACTTGATATGGAGCTTCTTTTTCAAGAAGCCGAGCGAGAAACGGAGAAGAGGAAGAGTGCTCTTTTTCATATAAGGAAAGAAGTTGGGATGAGATTTGTGTATGGCATTTGCGTCAACTTGATTTGTTTGGTAAAATTCGAGAAGAATCAAACAATAGTTGGTTTCAGAATGATTGGAACTGAACTATATTTCCTTTCAAACTCAATCAACCATACATGCCCTTTTTCAGTTTGGATTATCAAATGTATGTCTTATATTGGATTTTTTTTATTTTATTGTTGGAACTGAACTATAGACTTTCCAGGTTTATTGATACTTATAGTATTTGATTTTTCCTCATTTTCTTTATTTTAATTATCAAATGTATGTCTTATATTGGATTTTTTTATTTTATTGTTGTGGTTGAAGTGTTTGACATTGTAAATCCATCTTATAAATGTAAATATTGTGGACCAATGACGTGGAGGGGTGAAAGTATAAAACGCACAAGTAATTCCGATCAACCAAAGTTTCATTGTGATGCAAATAAGGCAAAGGGAACCTCCCTCCCCGAAGACAACATCCAAAGGTTTTGAATATGCTATTCCAAGTAAATACTTCAACGGGGCGTCACTTTTTGGAACATATTCGAATCTAAATTATTTGGTTCATCGTGCTATATTACAGTGAAGAAAATTATCTGTTTCATCATGCTATATTAGCTCCACATCATGAAGTGGTATCGACAATAAATAATTGTGTGATGGAAAGGTTTCCAATTGATGAAGTTTGTTCTCATAGTTTAGATTCAGTTCAGGTTGATCATGTTAACGCACATCATATAGAGAGATTATTCTAAGGAGTTTCTCAATACATTGAAGATTAGTAAATTTCCATACCTTTTTTTAGATTGAAGGTTGGATGCCTTCATTTTTATGAGAAATATAGATCAAAATACATGTCTCTGCAATGACACTAGGATGATTATCAAGAGACTCGACACACGATTTATTGAAGTGGAGATTCTAACAGGTACTCATATTGGTGAAAGAGTCTTTCAACCTCGAATTAAATTGTCTTCTCATTACAAAGTCTGGATTTCACATTGGTTAGGCGACAATATCCTATTGCAGTTTGCTTTGCTATAAAATTAACAAAAGTCAAGGTCAAACTTTAAAACATGTCAGTCTTCGCTTGAAAAAGCATTTATTCTCTCACAACCAGTTTTATGTTCCATTATCATGAATTACAAGGCAACATGGAATAAAGATTTCAACTTTTTCAGAGGCGAAGAAATGAAGACCATGCAAAATATTGTCTTGGAGGAAATTTGACTAATATTGCACAACTAGAAAAAAAATACTTTCGGGAAGACGATTGATATTTATGATAGTTTTTAATTCATTTACTTCCATAAGAATTAAATTTGATTTTTTCATTACAGATCATAATTTGGTTGTCATACATGGGCAGGTTTCCACAACACAGAACCTTTTAAATGAATCAGGTCTCGAATAAATTTTGAAAATGGACAACTAAGTTTCAAATAATTTTGTAGACAATTTTCTATTACTAATAGAATCATTTTGATTCTTTGGCTTTAGCAAGTAAATAGTATCTTAGTTCATGCAATTTTTATTGCGGTTTATGTCATTACCAATATTATACATATTCATAATCCACCTTCAAGTTCTTGACAAAACATTTGAAGCTGATTTTGTTGTTATAGATGGATTGGAAGTTTAATTTTTTGGAATATCTCCTGAAATCCTATTCCAAGAAAATAATAGAATGAGAGGAACACCACTTGCTCATCTTCACAAATTTGAGAGAATGACATCGAATTTCGACGTGAAAATCACAAATTACCAGGATATGGAAGGATGAAGAAGAGAAGGACAAATGCGATATTCCTAACTTGATCGAAGTATTCTAATTACATGAAAATGATTATCAATATTAATCACAATTTTTTATTCTTTGGTTTTTTATACCACGCGATGATACTTAGGTATATTCTTTAACATTTAGACATATGCATAATTGTATAATTTGAAATTCTGGTGAAATTTTCATTTATTTTCCACTGCCATACCTGTAATTGTATACTTGATTGCATTATAAGGTATACACGTCTTCAATTTTAATATCATGCACAAATTTATGCCTTCAAATTTTAAAGATGTACAAATGGCACTTAGTTGTATTATTTAATCTATAAACAAATTAATCCATGTCGATTATAAGTTAAAACTCCAGTTGAACTTTCTTCCCTTCACACTAAAATGCAAGTAATTGTATATTAGGTTACAATTTTAACTCCAATATGTATTGAACACTTATGATTCGATAAAACCATACCATATGTTGTTCTTTTGAATGTCAATTATACTAATTCATAATGCTAATGCATGAGTACATGAATGACACTGCTGATGGTGAAGGTACTCGATCCGGCGCTACAATTGATGATGTTGAGAAAATAAAAATATTGTTCATGTAGAAGATACAAAGACTCGAGATGGGGAGAAAGAACAAATCTTTGATATTGTTCATAATTTGGACGAGATACATTCTACTCCAATTAAAAATACAATTTGTATTTAATACTATTTTACCATAACTTTATTCCTCAATGAAATGAAAATAAAATAAAATGAAGAGATTATTGAAATGCAAAAGTAGAAAGAAGATGCAGACATATTATTGACGGATATGAAGACATTACTATTGTAGAGATGATGATGTTGCTCTTGGCGGAGAAAATTCAAACAAATTGAAAAGAAAATGTGCATTAATCTCTGACAATGAGGAGTTATAAATAGAATGGTGATTTGAAAATGGTTTTAGGAGTCATTTCCTTCCCTGGGGTTCGTCTTTCCATTTCATAAAAAGATTTTAGTCAATGAGTCATTAAATAATTGGAAAACATTGCGATGTTAATGTTTATGAATTGTTGAATCATTTTTATAATTTGATTTTTTTTTTATTCTACCTATCAATTCAAATGTTTTGAGTAGCTGAATAATTTAAATTTTATTATACTATCAAAGAAACGCATATCTTGGATACAAATTGTTACTGTTGTCTGAGTGATTGGCGACTGAATCCGGCCAACTGGTCGGGGCCTATAACTAGTAGTAAAACTAGGGCAATGTTTAACGGTCCAATTAGAACAAAAGGTAATGATGCATTGCACCCTCTCTTGACAAAAATGTAGAATGGCCAATTTAGTTCCCAATGCTTTCCAAGTCTCATCGAGATTAACCAAATCAAAGGTCGGATGTGTCCTGAAAGGTACTTCGAATACCAATAGACCATCACTCACAGCGCCAAGCAAATTCGGAGTGAAAAAAAAAAATTCTCAAAACTTTGCTATTACACGACATATAAAGCTTCGTGACAATAACACGCAGTTTAAATTCCACTACCTTTTTTTCCTATTACAATGAACTTTTTCACCTCATTCTCAAAGTCTCGTAAAACAAAAGAGCCTATGCCGAGACCAACCCAACCTTCTGGTTATCCTATCTCCAGAATACAAAGGGTTGGACCCGCAACCTATTTACAGGATATCTTGCTCCTATAAAACGGCATTTACAAAAATGGCTCAACTCTGAAAAAATGGACAATTCACGATGCAACCCTCCAGTACCCCTCCACACCAAACCAATTCGGCCGAAAATAATTGCATCCACGCCGTAAAAGTTCGCCAAAACAAACTCTTACAAGCATCATAATACCTAGTACCACAGACAAATGGAACCATTAGAATCGCCATCGCGTGATTCAAAAACCATATACTGAACTAAGGAATACAGGAAATTTGTGCACCTGTCATTGGAGTGAAAGCTTACCTATGCAGAAAAATGGAATGAATGTTAGGACAACCGAGCAAGAGTAGCTGCTTCGGTCTAGAAGGTAAAAGTATCAACACTTGGTTATGGCATCTTCAGAGCCTGTTTCAACTGAGCAAACGCCGAGGGATGCATTCTACTTATAGCTACATTAAAGGCTTCTCCGTGTACTGCCCCACATGTTTTAAGGTTTTCTCGCACTAGATTCTCTAACGACAACTGGTTGATGGGGTCTGAAAACTTAATCTGAAACAGAGGACCCACAAATTAAGCTCCGAGCAATTTAACAGATAAATTTCTATGGAGAGTTATTACCTGTCTTTTTCGGAGTTCTTTACTCACAATATTACCATCATCGTGAGACCTGCTGGAACTCATATTATCGCTACTGTGGTCGATAAATAATAATAAAAAATTGCGCATATCAGCTTTCGACTAACTGGAGTATATTGATTTATCAAAGTTACTATAGAGTATAACCTGGAATCTTCATCAGCCGATTCATCAGTACCTCCCATTATAATGCTTGTGCACACACTACAAAAGTTCAAGCCCAGGGTAATAAATGTGCACGTGGATGATCAATCAGCATTCATCTATTGACACAAGAAACCAAGTAGAGAGTGCACACCTCAGGATAAGATCAAGCTTATCAAGGACCTGAGGCAGCCTTAGAGTCAAAATTATTGAAAGGGCGAGGCCGAATGTTTTTCTCTGGTTGGAAGTTGCGTTGTCCACCTGAAAGTCAGAGCGATGATAAGAGATAGATTAATAGAACAAGTAGTAACTACAGAAGCGAGCATTGCCAGAGTTCATACCATATCATCCACAACCATTGGAAATGTCATACAATTGAATTAAAATACCAAATGGTAATTCAATATAAAAGCAAATAATTTGGCAGAAAATCTGGAACATAAATAGTTGTGCCAAGAAATCTCAACATATATTAACAAAAGCAAAAATGATTTCACAGACAAACTCACGAGTACTAACCTTGTCAAGCCATATGTCAACAAGGGATAAAAGTATATTGTCCTCGGCTGGTATACTTGCTTGCTGGAGGAGTAATGGAAGTGATGGTTCTGCCGTCAACTGGGCAAGATAGTTGGTGTTCATTACCAATATTCTTGCTAAGATTGCAGATGAAGATGCTTTAACTGCTGTTTTAGAAGGATCATAGTCGTCTCCCCCACTCAAACAGATCACGATAAGTTTCTATATCAAGGGACAAAAAAATAGTAAGTCGGATTCTAAAAGCAGAACATGTACTCACACTAGCTATATGAAACTAAATTACAATAGATCCATTCATGTAGTAAGCGATGGCCCTACTTGTAAGGTGCTGTTGATAAGTGGAGGCACTTCCATGGGGAAACACTGCAATCAACAAATAACTAGTCAGACAAACAGTTCAAACTAGACACCTCAATAGTGCTAATTTCCCTACGGAATCGTGAGAAAACAGCTTGTGCTTGTCTCTGGGGAGTTAGAAAGACTACCTGGATTAACATATCAATTACAGGAATAATAGAACGCATCCCTCTGTTGTTGACATTTCCAACTATCAGATCAAGAAGTTTTGCAACAGCAGAAGCATGCATGTTCAGAAATTCTGCTCCACCTAATATCACATAATCCTCAATGATATTTACAGCCACCTGCCATCATATTTCCACAATAAACTGAACTCGTATCATTTATGCAAGTGGTGATCTGATAGATAAGCTAGTAATATGCATTGAATGTCAAGATCGAGCAAGAGATAGAAGAGAAGTGAAAAGATAAGTGAGTGACATCTTATGTGAACTGACATTGTACATGAACTGATACAAGGAATCTGAATGAACAATCATATTACAATTAGCTGATGATATTTTGCTCAATGGCACAACTGACCTCTAAGTGATCGAAACTTCTTTCCAGGATATCAAGTAAACAAGGGAAATACGTCAACAGTTGAGGCACCATTCCGGGAGCATTAGAAAGTGTTGCTTCCCACAACTGCGAAAAGTATTGTCCACCAATATTTTTATTACCGGACGAGACAAAAGTAGTCTATTAGATCATTCCGAATAAGAAACAGAACGGTTAAGACTTAAGACTAACCAACATACTGTCCTCCAGGAGTTCATCTGGGCTATTTATATCAAGCCCTCTTTGCAGAATAGGTAGAAGTACGCTATAGCAATTTGGTGACTGATAACCCAGTGCAACCAGAAAGTTCCTTAGAGCAACGAGAAGCTGCATTTGCAGTAGACTCTCACCAGAAGATTCTTCCCAAACCTTCAGGGAAAAATGAGTAAAAGTTAACATAAAAAAACTGAGAGTACAGATTAACTTAATAGGATAAGAGTTTGATTACAAAGTTCAGTTAAGCTATCATATGACAATTAACCAAGAACAGATTTCTCAACTCCACCTAAACAAGACTCCTCTTGAGCATATGAAAAAGAACTGAAAGACCATAGACCAGGTACGCGAATTTGCCAACTTTCTATGCAGTCATTCAACTCACTGGCTAAGTAATTCGGCTGCATACCTTCCGAAAAAACTGCACCAACTGGTTCGCATATGGAATGATTTCACTGACATGTGCAATGAGAATGGAGATCAAATTCAAAACCTGAACCTGAAATTGTAGGAGAGGAACAAAGTCAAATGCCGTTAGTAGCAAAAGACCAGGATAACTTAAATAAAAGCCATGTAATAGCCCAAAGTAAGCTATATTACGGTCCTAACCTGCTAGTTAATACTACATGCATGAATATTAACTGTTTCAGTCATCTAAGCAATAGTGAAAGCACCAGGAGTTCATTTTCATACAAAAAATGCGAAAGGAACCAATGGACGTGACTGTGACATGTTATTGAATTTAAGAAACGAAATTAACCTTAAGGACCTAACAAATCATAATTTCATAAAAAAAAATTCTAGCTTTCAACTTGCCGCCTTTTCCAAAATGAAGTTGGCGCTTACATAAAAGGATGAACAGTTGAAAATAAATCACATCTGCAGATGCTCAGCAGGAGAAACAAAACAGCCATTTCGCATGGCAAAACACGAATACGCACATTAAAAGTACAGTTTTACCTTTGAGTCTAATTCTTGAACCTCGTCAAACAACTTGAAACAGGAGTCCCAGCAAACAGGAAGGAGATCCATAAATTCATGCTCAGAGAAGTTGGCATCTTCAATATGTGAACACAAAGACCGACAAGCTGCTAGCTATATCCATGAATGAAGAAATCAGTATCAAACAGCATCCAAGCAATGCAAGAAAGTTGGAAAGAACTGTTCGAACATTCAGTTACAGGGGTGAGGAGGAGATGGATATCACAAAGATCGGGAGAATCATACTTTGACAGACAGGTCTTTGGCTTGCAGCAATCTGATCAATCCACAATACACAGGTCGTTTCGTGTCATCCTTAATCTGCAAGAAAAGGGAAGCCATAAGCGCATCCAAGTAATCTAACATGAGTTCATCAACTTTTCCACATTCTCGATGCTATATAACTTTCACAGCATGTTGGTACAGTATATTTGTAGCATACAGTGGTAAATTCCTCCAATGCTAACCACAAACATATCTATATGTACATATGGCAGAGGCTAGTATAAGGCTGCTGTATAACATATGTTTGGGTTCACACCTATTATATGTGCTTCAGTGACTTCGACGAATCAAAACTGTAAGTTGTTATTATTTGATTAAATAGATATTATGGTTTGGATTTAAAGAATCAGGGTACTGGGTTCACCCTTTATATATGGTAACGACTGGCGTACACCTTGTGTATACCGTACTCAAAGTGATATGGCCGTCATATGTACTTCGTTGTACTTTGGGTATGGGTTAAGAAAATCATGGGTTTTATTCATTACAGATTAGAGTATAGTATCATACCCCCAAACTCGTTTAATTTATGTTATGGAAAGAGACATCTCATAAGGACTATTCGGAGTATCGTATGCTCAAGGAGAACAGCAGTCCGACAACACACACATACAGATATTGAATTCAAAAGCATCAACTTGTCCCTAGAGTTCAACTGTTGTACCAAGGTAGCATGTCAGAGGTGATTACGTTCAGGCCAAAAACCACATGATACACGGATGCACCATATGCACAAGACAAGATATGCATCTCTGTTTAACGCTTCTAAGGCGAGATATGCATGTCAGAGTATATATGAACAGTAGTTACCTCAGAAACCCATTGTCCCAGTACCAGGGCAATCTTGCGGTGGATGATAAGCATATTATGATGATCATTAGACAGTTCAAGAGACAAGGCACCATTAAACCTGCAATCATTTGATTTCAGCTTAGAGACAAAAAGTTACTGTCGACTTTCAAAGAATAAATCCACTAAAAAACTGCAGCAACAAGAATAGTTGGAAATTGAACAAGCAAATTTCCTGACTTCAGAAAAAAGCAAACTAAAATTTTCATTTCATCCAGCTGAAATCTCAGAGAAGTCCTAGCATTCGTACCCAAGTTGACCCTGTTAGAAGTCCGGAAATTGTATTTTAGCAATCGGACTTCCCAATGACAGTCCAATTGCAATCGAGCTGTTATAATTAATAACTTCTAATGAAGATCAATAGTTAGATGTAAGTTACACTGATTAGTTAAACAAGAAACTGTGCACGGAGTGGTCCAAGAAGGAAGCATGCATGAGAGGCAAGGATTAACCATTCTTTGAAGCTTAGGTAGTTTGAAAGCTCATAGTAAACATATGCAGCAGCACCATAAGCAGCCTCTTTCAAAAGCAAGCCTGGTGTGATCTCTATGGCTGATGCAGGGCAACCACTCATGGACTCCTGAAGGATGGATACCACAATTGGAGCCAAAAGCTACAAGTACCAGCAAGATCACATAAGCTGACGTTTCTTACTCCACTCCTCAGAATTATTACTTAACAGTTCTACAAATCCATTTACCTGGCTATAGTTTTCAAACAGCACAATGTACAAAGCTTCAGCACAGGGCCTTAGTTTTTCGGTCCATTGAACCATGTCCTGCTCATGATGAAAAGATTCTGGACTCTGAGACCATTCTTCCAGGTCACTTGCCATTAAAACAAAATACCTGTTATAACAGCATCATCAAACTTTCAGCAAATTTTAAGAAAACCAAGAGGGAAAGAAGGGACACGTTTGAATAAATTATGCAAGCAAACTCACGAGAGTTTGGTTTCAGAAAACCAAGTGAAGTAACAACCATGATTACTGAAACCCGGCAGCAAGTACCGGAAGAGTCTGACCACTGACAGTTTTTCCATAACCATAAGAAGAAAATAACTATCAAGCCATCAACAATTTCTCGAGCATCAAAACAAAGGTATGACATAGCTAACTAGAGCCCAAAACAAAGAATCACCAAATATTCTGTTCTTACATTACTCACGTCACATGTCAAAGAGCCAAGAAATCTTGAACTCACAGCCTAACCAAACATGGAAGAGAACAAGAACAAGAAAAAAAAAACATGGATAGTTACCCTAGAACCTGTGTGACAAGTCCTAGTATACCTAATGGCCGACTCTACACAGCTATGCATTTCACTGTCTTCAGTTAACAAATAGATATAAATCAGAAGTAAAGTGAGACGTGGCATAAAATATTACAGAACTCATCTCAGAAATTATTACCCAATCACAACAAGTGTTGAAATATGAGAATGACCATTAAAGTAGTATGGAGCTTAAATAGGTCAAAATGGCTCCCTTCCAAAAGAAAAAGACATTACGACAACTCAATCATGGTGGGCACCAGGCACAAAATGCAACTTGGATTCAAGTATTAAATTTGGAGGATATTTTAAGGAAACTAGTGAAGTAAGAAGCAGGACATAGAATCATCACCTTCTTATCAACACATTGCACAAGAGTATTATGCGTTCATTTGGAAGAAGCGAAGTGAGAACACCACCGACAACATTCGACATATTCTTCTTCGTCTGCTCTAGTGTGATGACACTTGCATCCATTACACGACCAGTAAGACTCGGCTTATATTCCTTACATTCAAGCACACGCTTGACCATTACCATACATTGAATCAGAAATTGCTCAAAGGACAGTAACTCTGGATCAGGCTCAGTTATCTTGTTTAAACAGAAATCCAAAACCGGTGGAAGGACAGACTTATCACTGAATGAATAAGGATGGCGATTCTGAATCATAACCAAGACCTTCATCAATTTGGTACATGCCCGCTTCACAAATTCCCAAAATTTCCCATGCCCCTTCTGGAAAGATGAATCTGAAGGAAAGAGCAAAGCAATAATCTGTTTAAACTAACATAAATAAAAGTGGGACAGCTTAAACAACAATGTCCAGCGGGAACTAAATTGGTTCAATGAGGAAGATCAAACATTTGCGGAATCATATTTAAAAACAGATAACGAATTGCTCAAGAACTAGAAGGATTTTACTATAGGACCATTTTTCATTTGGATATAGCTAAATCCCCTTTTATTGTCTTTTATCCTTGTTTTGTTGATAAAGAAGAGGATGTAACCAACCAGATGGGGGCGAAAAGCTTGACATAATTATACAATAAACTTGACCTAAAAAGAATATGTAACAATAAACTCAGGTACTTACAATATGGAAGCAACGATTGAATCGCATTCAAGAGCACAGGCGAGACCTCTTTTACAGGTCTGACCTCCTGAAAAAACACAACTGAAAACATGTAAGTAAAATTTTCGTACATCAGATAAATGCTGAGAAGGTAGGACAAAATGTTCAAGTTTAAACCAAAAACAAGTTGACAAAAAAGTGATAAGTAGATACCTGAACCGCCTTCGCATCACTTGGAAACCCTGATAATATCAACTGCCGTATGATCTTTGAACACAAGAGCCATCTCTCACTGATCAGATAAAGTTCATCATGATGCTGCTCAATAACATTTGGATCACAGTTTTGAGTGAGAGCCGAAAACCCATGTAGTATAGTCCTCACATCACTTTGCCAAAGATGCCAGCAATAGTCAAAGAAATGAGATGTTATCTGCAAGAAGTAAGGTTGTAGTCATCCTTGAGGAAATATACCACCAAAAAATATTACATACTTTCTTCTCCATTGAAAACTAGAAAGAAGCAATTAAGAGATATGCAGCGCCTTAGTACGTTTAACATTGTAATCAGGAACAAAAAAACGACTATTGCACCCAATTCAACAAGTGAAAAAACCTAGTACAATAATAGATAGTAGAATCTGAACTCCGAAGAAGACTAGTTGGAGCCATAGAAATGCTACCTTTATTCTAATTCTAGCTAGCACTTTCCTAATTGATAATAGAATCTGAATAACTTAAATGGCTGAATAGCTTACCTCAGCGTAATTCTTTTGATCGGCAGAGAGACGTTTAGTTGACAACTCCTTCAAACTTCGGAAGAGAATCATAAAAATCCGGTGCGAAGTGAGAATATCAGCTGATTGAAGCTGGTTCGCCAGAATAGAAAAGAACTCTGGCCTAATGACTCATTAAGTTAAACTATCAGTACATTTGTAAAGCTAATAGCATTCACAGAGCAATACACTTTAGCTGAGAATAAAGGGAAAATCACAGGCGGAATATCATCACAACAAAGAAGTTACAACCGCCACAAACATAGTTACAAATTGGTGATAAAGTCATTTCCAGTAACTTTCTCATCAGTGCATGTACAACACCAGTAGTATTTCTATTGGGGGTGGGGGGCATACAGCTGAATTGAATTGCTATCAGTTCTTTCTGCATGAAATATACTACAAGATCCAAAGTAATGAAATTCTGATGCAACATTTTCCCACAGTAAAGATGCTACAAGATCCAAATTAATTAAATTCTGATGCAACATCACTTCGCAAAGCAATATTTTTTTTAACACTCCAACTCACAACTTGAAAAATCCAAGTGTGTGAGATGATGGAAGGTAAATCGAAAACAGCATCATGCATCTCAAGGGACGTCTTAACAAATAATCGAGACTCCATCTTCATTCCGTCCAATGTACTTATTATCAGTACCAGTCCTTGGGAAGCATAATTCAGAAGAAGAAAAAAATCTTACCAGTCCTTGGGATAGTCGATACGAGCAATTCTTGAAATAAGCACAGCCAACATCATAGCTATCTGATGTTCACAGTAAACCACATCAAGAACAATTAAAGAATATAAATGCATAAGCTCCTCCGAGGAAAGACGAAATGGCTTATTAACAGATTGACACAAACCTTATAGTCCTCCTCTCTCAAGTGTGCCAGGAGCTTCTGCCTCAAGTGAGTTTTCTCTTCAATGCTTATTCCCCTGAACCGCAACAAATCAATTCATGAGCCACACAGACATTAAAACAACATATCCAGTGCATTTGCTCATATGAAGGAGCTACCAACGAGAAAATGCAATTGCAAACATCATAAGCGTGGAAATCAAGCTTAAAACCTAACAAGTGGCTTACGAGTCACGCCTGCTTCTCCAGTAACGATTGATGCTATTTTTGAAATAAACGGTAGCCATCAATCGAACGTCAACCTGCGATGCTAAATCCTTTGCGGTAATCACTTCCTACAGCCAAACAGTCCAAATTCATTAGCCAAAATGGATGGTAACTCACCGGCATTACCTCCACACTAACTCGGAAACCCTAGAAATGGACGATGAACAACGAGAGACGGACAACAAAACGAGTACCATCAAACACGAGCAGAATCCAGGCCGGCTCTCGGACTGAGAGAGCGCCACCTCCGCTGGCTTCCGCACGCTCTCGTCTCCGCTCATTGAGTTCGCCAGCAGCGAATATATCGCAGGCAAATCGGAAGACGAAAGCGCCATGGTGAATAGTGTGCTCAGCTCAGCACGATAGCAATCGCCGTCAACCAGACACGAAAAACTCACTGTGTTTCGGATCAAACGAAGCAGAAAGTCGGCGCAACGGATTTCAAGGCCGAGCAAACTGCAAAACTAGGTAGTCTTTTCTGGTCTCCGTCGGAAGTATCTTATTTTGTCCCTTCCGCCGGCGCCGGATGATACGGAAACTCGTTGCCTCAATAGAGCTCGGGGAAGCGTGGGAAAGCGGAAGGGGGAAGAAATGAAGCCGGAAAGAGAGGTGAGGCAAAGAAGAGAAGGTAGGGCCCTAGCTAGCCTGTCTTTATTTGGAAAAAATCCCACTGTACACATGTTTTTAAAAAAAATTCTCAAAATACACATGTTATGAAAAAAATTCCCAATCTACGCATGTTTGGGCCTTCATCGCGTCTGACCAAGGTGGTGATTGAATCATCGCGTTAGACGAAAACGGTGATTGCATCACCGCGTTAGACAAAAACGGTGATGCAATCACCGCTGTAGAGGAAGGCGGTGAATGCATCACCGCGTTAGAGGAAAACGCTGAAGGTCTGACCTACGTCATATCTTTAAAAAAACGTAACTTTTTGCTCGGTTATCCGATCGTGATGAAATTTTTTTTGATTCCGCATAATTTTTCGAGATCTTGCAAGCCGCAAACAGCCGAAGGCGGTTTGGCCCCTTCGTCCCGAAAAAACGTCGTTTGCTACCCCGAACGAGCCTTTTTTCGATTTCGTCAAACTTTGAACGATCATAACTTTGTGCTCCACAATCCGAAAATCATGAATTTTTTTTTGATTTTGCATAACTTTTTGAAGACTACAATTTTTATCATAGACATAATTTCGGAATGTACTTGGATTCCTAAAAAGGAAAGGTAAACTTATTCTCAAAACCCTGTATATCCAAAATAATTCATTTTTTGAAAATTCTCTCCTACTAAAAATTGTAGTCCTCAAAAAGTTATGCAAAATCAAAAAAAAATTCATGATATTCGGATTGTGGAGCACAAAGTTATGGTCGTCCAAAGTTTGACGAAATCGAAAAAAGGCTCGTTCGGGGTAGCAAACGACGTTTTTTCGGGACGAAGGCGGGACCAAACCGCCTACGGCGGTTTGCGGCTTGCAAGATTTCGAAAAATTATGCGGAATCAAAAAAAATTTCACCACGATCGGATAATCGAGCACAAAGTTACGTTTTTTTAAAGATTCGACGCAGGTCAGGCCTTCACCGCGGCCGTCGAACGCGGTGAAGCTATCACCGTTTTTGTCTACAGCGGTGATGCAATCACCGTTTTTCTCTAACGCGGTGATTGCATCACCGCCCTTCTTTAACGCGGTGAAGCAATCACCGCCTTAGTCTGACGCGGTGAAGCCCCAAACATGCGTAGATTGGGAATTTTTTTCATAACATGTGTATTTTGAGAATTTTTTTAAAAACATGTGTACAGTGGGATTTTTTCCTCTTTATTTCGCCGCGGCAATTATATTGCGCTGGTGGTTGTTCGTTCCTTCGGAAAAAAATCTTAATTGCAGAAAGATTGTGCCACATCAGCATTTGCTCATCCCACAACACTTCTAAGTTCTAACATATAATAAAACCATGCGGTTAATCTAATTACTTTCTCCATTTAATCCATCCGCTCATTGGGCCTTTCCTCGGGTCCAATTGAATTACTTTCATCCTCTCTTAGCAGCTAAAAGTTTATTTTTTAAACTGTGTAGAAAGTAGAAACGACCCATAGACCCAATTGGCTAATTCCCTTATAAAAGAAAATTTAATAATTGGAAAATGAAGTATACATAAACAAAGCAAACGTCTTTTTTGGGGGAAAAAGCAATCGGTTCATTATTCCACACAACTATCGAACTTAACACAATTTTTAATATATTTTATGCTTAGAGCACTCTTCTATACTTTAAAGTATTTGTGCTTTAAAATAGAACTTGAAGTTGTAACATAACTTTAAATATACAAATTGAAGTTATACCATAAGGAAATTTGAATTTTATGTTATCGTACAACTTTAGTTTGTACCATAAATGGATTTATATAAAAGCGTATAGATATAACCTTAGGCCGAACCATAACGTTAATCGTACAACTTCAAATTGTACCATAAAGATAAAAACTAAAGCATCAATGTTTTAAAGTATTGTAAAATTCTTCTTTCGTTTAATCCATAACCAAGTTAAAAAGCAACCTCCTGTAAGCAACTGGATACGCAAACGTTTAGAAACCATAGGATCACATACAAACGACTATTTTATAAATATTGTGTGGGAAAACTACAGTAATTTTGGTATAATTATATATTAGATAATTTGCTCAAATCTGAACCATTAAAATATTACCTAATCAGTTTAGGTAGTAACATTTTACATCTATCACATAAGATAAGTATACATTATGTACCCATTAAATAATGCATGTTGTTTCAAAAAAAAAATGCATGTTGTATTTTAAGAAATATGACATGTGAAACCTGTTATGGCAGGTAAAATAATTCAAGTTACCTTTTGTAGGAATTTTCAAAATGATTACTCACTCATAAATGTGAGCATGAAATAATAATAGACGCATAATAATCCTCTGGTATCACAAACGAAATAAACTACAATACCAAAATTTATGGGTTGAAAAGAATATATAATTTGGAGTTTCAAAGCAACTCTTTTGGGTATGCTTTGATTCGTGTAGACTTACACATGTGAATTTTTGTATTGCGGATCATATACATATGATTTACATGAAAGTGTTTATTTGTAATGTCGATTTGTGTAGTATAATTTTTTTTTCTATAACAATTTGAGGTTGGAGTTGAATTGAATGATATATAGTTTACTAAAAGTTAATGAGAGTAGGGTGGAGGTTATGATTGCACATAAGTTAGAGCTTCCGCATGTAAACTACTCTCGACAATCTTAACAACAATTAACCTTAGTCTTAAAAAAGGTAAAGAAGAATTCACATAATTTGTTGACTTCTTTCGCTCACTACTGTTCAGAAAATATAATTTTTGCTTCTGGCATTTTTCCTCCAACAAACACAGTCCTCTTTCTATACACATTTGTATTTTGACTATGATGTTGTTCGTAAATTATTAAAATTTTATTGTCCCCTGAGTTTTGCTTCTATTTCTTCATTGTTGATCTGGGAATAATTTGAAAACCCCATGTCACCAATTTTTTTTTAGAAATATGTACTTCAACTTTGCTCAAGCTGCCATCATTCTCAAATTTATTTGGCACATACCTCAGTTAGATTGGCACAATCTAACCTCTCCAATAGATTCTCAATAGTAAAGCTTCATGTTCCAATCAAAATACATCAATTACTTTATGTTTGCCACTAGCTTAGTTATGTGATGTGTTTGTTAGAATGTCTATGAAGAAAATCGTCTACAAGGAGGAACATTACAATTACAGTTAGTACCTTTCCTTTTCGGGTCGTTGGTTATTGAACTAAAATTGGACTGTAATATGAAGAGAAACTAATATTTTGTTTAAATATTAAAAGTTTAAAGGTAATGCAGAGCTATACTAGTGTTGGGTGTAGGACTGAAACTACATATTGATTATCAGACCCTTTTGTTTATTTAAGAAATGTTTATTTATTGGGTGCTTAGTTCCAGACAAATCAATCTTTTACTCTTGAACCTCCTTCAACTAAATATCAATGTTGTGTTACTAAAATGTGAAAAATAAAAAGTACATCCCGTAAAAAAAATTATGCCCCCTCTTAAAGTTTTAATTTTTTGTAAAGAAGGTAAATGCGAACTTTCAGTCACTTGACATGCACATCAAATCCTTAAAGTTTTATTTCCATCAAACGAAAAGGTTCTAAAACATTATTGAGTTGAGAGTATTAAGATTGTAATCATATCTTCAAATTTAGTCATATGTGTAGTAAGATTGATCGCAGTTTGAATGATGAGCGCGATTTATTCCTACTTTTAATTGAGGGAAAGTTACCATCAATTTGACGATTTAGTGTCACAGAAGATACATATCATATGTTTGATGAGTTCTACATTCATCAAAAGGAGAAATAAATTAAAAATCCACTTTATTCAATCATGACATATGATACTTTAAAATCTAGGGTATGCCTACTATGACATGCATGTCACGGTGACATGCACTTTTCGGTCGACCTATTCCTGAGGGAGGTCGACCGAATTGACCAATTTGGGCATCACGAGAAAGCGTTGCGGTCGACCGCCACGACCACGCGGTCGACCGCATTTAGTTTAAGTTGGTATTTTTGGTCGACCAGAATAAAACCTCGGTCGGCCATTTCGTTGGCGTCAGAAACAACATGGTCGACCACCTAATATATAGGTTGACCACTTGATGGCAGTAATTAACAAAATGGTCGACCGGATAAGGAAAGAGGTCGACCAGATAGAAGATAAGTGTTCTATCAAAGTGTCCAATCATTTGACGTAAAATGGAGATCAAGTGTTGGTTTCTCGGTCGACCTAATCCGGTACGAGGTCGACCGAATACAAGAAAGTCAACCTATGCCCCGTGTCTTTTTTGCTTATGTATGTCGATTTGTGTGGTTAATTTAATCGTATAAATTATGTTTCAAACCATCATAATTAGTCAATTATAACAAGGACTCATCAATCCATAGCATAACAACTAAAAATAAAACACACATAAAATAGCATAATTGTTCACACATAAAAATAAAACTAAAAAAACCATCATAGCATAATTGTTCACACATAAAAATAAAACTAAAAAAATAACATAAAAATAAAACTAAAAAAATAAAACTAAAAACTACTCATCTCCCCCCTCTCCCTCATTCACATTTTCTTCATTTTCTTCATTGGTGGTGGTAGCATGGTGGTCAGATGTGGTGGGATGCATGCAATGCAGTCAAAAGCGCGATTCTACCTAGAAGCGGAAAAAGGGTAAAATCGTAAAGCGTAGAATTAAAGCGTAAAAGCGTAAGTTTTTATGCATACTGTAAAAGAACAAAAAATATGTTAAGTACGACATCTACTATGAAAAATATGAGTGTACAAAATTTAGATAAATTAATAAATACTTGCAATTCATGCCTAAAGTAGAGCAACTTATAGCCTCTTAATAATAAGTTCAAAAACATAAATCTTATCAAGAAGCCACATTCCCCTCCATGCTAATGAATTTGAGAAGAGCCTAGACGGTGAATTAGATTACTTTATTGAAGTTCAGAATGCATCAAAGTATCTGGTATGTATCTTTTAATCTTAAACGTATCATATTGTCGGTGATTTATTTTTAAAATATACTTTTTATAATTAATTTCATG